AGGAGAAGAAATTTTGTTTTGTGGAAATTATAAATTGATTTATCAAAGAAGACAGTATACGGCAGAATTTTAGAGTTGAGAGTGACCTTAGAAATTATTTTCTCAAAGTTATTTTATTTTCAAACTGAGTGAAAGAAGACCCTGAGATGTTAAAGACTTAGGCAAGACCATATCACTAGTGAGGATAGAGGAGACAGTTAAGCCCTAAACTGCTGACTGAAAGGTTGGTGGTTTGAACCCACCAAACTGATCTGCAGAACCCTATGGGGCAGTTCTGCTCTATCACAGGGGGTCACCATGAGTTGGGATCAACTTGAGAACACCCAACAACAACAATAGAGGCTCCCTTAGAGCACAGACCTCATTTTAAACTTAGCTGGCTCATCCCCCTGTGCCCCTCTAGATATAGGTAAATTGAACATTGTTAGTAGTTCACATTTTCATTTACTTTCAATAAGACTTATTTGTCATTTACTTAGCATGCAACAAAAGAGATTCCAAAGAATAGACAAGTTTAGTCACCTTAAAAATGAAGCTAAGAGTTCAACTGTTTTCATGCTTTACTCAGTACCAGCTGTCATTTTTACTCTGATTAGATAATATCAATAAATATATACAATATCTATAGTGGAAAACTTCTCTTAAAAGTTGTGTGCTAAAATATTTTACAGATATTTTCTAACACTTAAGAACCCCAGAGACTTTGTAGCAATATAACAGTGCCAGTTACCACTTTGCTTCTGCCCCTGAATTTCTTTCCAAGCAGAGAAATTGTGGAAAGTTGGGGGCCAAAGTACTTTTTTAAGCTGTGATCCCATTTGGATGGCTTCCGTTATCGTGGGCTATGTGGATGCTTTACCCAATAAGAGCCTTTCTGATTTTACAACCAGAGTGATTGAATCAGTCTTTTTCATCCTCATGAACTAGACATCACCACTTGACCTAAGGAGAGATGACTGAACTATGTAATAAGTAAAATGAATGAATGAATGAATCCTAAAAGCCGTACTTTCTGCCAAGTAGATTCCAACTCAGCAACCCCCACTGGATTTCCAAGGCTGTAAATCTTTACACTCACAGTAACCCCTATTGAGTTTCCAAGGCTGTAAATCTTCACTGAACCAGGCTGCCTCATTTTTCTTCTGTGGAGTAGCTGGTGGGTTTGAACTTCCAACCTTTTGGTTTGCAGCCAAATGTCTTAACCACTATGCCACCAGACCTCCTTAAATAAATAAGCAAGCCTAAATTTAGTTGGTCTTATCTTCTTAATGGATACCCTTTGTCTGAAATAATTTCTTCTTTCTGTAAGACAGAACTTCCATTGCTAAGTTAGTTATGTGAGTACCAGAAAATGACCTCAGTCTTTCCTCAGGGATTCTAAAAATTATAATCATATTGGGAATGAAAATGCTTACAAATTATTTTTTAAAGAGAGCCAAATTACATGACTATTAATACTAATTCTGGTGTTTATTGTCACCATAAACAGGACGAGGATACTAATAATTGGGCATATGGTGCTAGTCTTTAATAGTTTCTAATTGTTGGATGAAGAGCCATCTTTTAAATCATTATGTGTGACAGTGGGAGAGTCATCTCTCAACCTAACTTCATCCAAAGTTTGAGTATTCAATCAGTGTTAAAACACACTTACTAAGCATTTTCTTCTGTACTCAATACTTAATTGCCATTATGCTATACTTGGGATAAATTAAAATCCATCGTCTTTTAAGAACTTTGGAGAAAAGGTGATATGACTTATTTCTTTTCTCAAAAGTAACATGCCACAGTTTATAAGGCACGAAAATTGTATCTTGATGATAGGAACATATATCAAATATTAAAGTATAATCTGTATCTATGACTACATATTTCAGATTTACTTATTGAAGTAGATGTTTTACAATTATATCCTAAAATAGGGAAGAAAATTTGTCCTTTTAAAATGAAGAGAGGAGTGTTAGAAATGTTTGCTTGAAATTATACCTAAAACAGGGTTAAGTTGGTAAATAACTTGTTTTTCACTTTAAAAGTTCCTGATACTCTCTTTGAGAATTTTCCTGTAGTGTTCTCTAGTGTATCTTATATTTCCTTAGCCTGTGTGAGTTTCTTTTCTATATTTGCAATGGAGCTTACTTACCTACTTTTTCAGGTTCATTCTGTTTTCCGTAATACTTCTGCTACAGTGTCAGAGACTTGTTAAATGAGGGGGGGGGGAATGTATGGGATTTTTGTAGTAGTTTGGGCTTTGGTTTTCTCTGCAAATATATTTGTGTGTCTGTGTTTCTATGTCATACTTATATTTCCCACCATTTTAAGTATTGTTCACTTACTTTCTCAATGTACCTTTTTATTTGTTTGCTTATTTATTTTGGTTTTAACATTTCTTACCTAATTTACATTGGAGGACTTGCATACTCAATAATTTATTTGAAGTTGACCTTATTTTTCTTTTTCTATTAGATTAAAAGATTTTTTTGTTTTGTTTTTGAATTGTTATTTTAAAGATGTAGCACTTAACACATGGGTAAGCATTTAATTCATGTTCAGTGAATGCTTGTTTGAGTTAATAGAGATCCTAAAGTGTCTTTGACTACATATATATTAAGAAACCTGGAATTCTACTTAAGATAGTATAGCAAATATCACATTGGGATCTTAGCTCTGATGTAAATAATACTAGATATACAACCAATTGAATATCTTAAACTTTTTCAAAAATTGATAAAGAATATAGTTTTATAAAATCTACACTATTCTACTCATTAATATTTAAACATTTTAACATTTAATATGAAATAAAAGAATGATTTATAAGTAACAGTAATTTAATATTAAATATTAGATTGGTTGGGTCATTTCAATCATTTAATAACAATACAAATGGCTCAATTGACCAGAATATGGGAACTCTCTTTCCTTATGCTGACATTCTAAAATTGAGCAGAAATGTTAATTTGTATAGAATTCAGATTAAAAAAAAATCACTTTTAAATAGTTATTCCATCCAACTATCAAATATAGTACTAACATTTTTAGTAACAGTTACATGAAAGCCTTTTAGGTCACTTAAAGAATCTACACCATCTTGGGAGTTACATTCGGTTATAAATTCCAGAGGTTCATTTGGTTGCATATTATGGTGTCACATGTGAAATTATCAAATAGATCTTGATTCAAGTAGCAAATTGGCCACAAACCAGTTTTGTGACTTTAAAGTTCTTTTGCCCAAGTTTGAACCCTGGAAAAATAAGGTATATACATACCCAAACCTTTCTACACTATATTGATTCATGAGTTAATGTACGAGAACAAAATGCATTATGCGTTTGGAGTTCCATTAGTTCAAATTATCATTATTAGTATGATCATTATTATATTTGGCAAAATTTCTGTCCAGTCTCTATGCTATTTCAAGTCATTCAGCAGAGATGATTCTACAAAAGGTGATTTTTAAAGTCATTTATTACATGAATGTTAATAGCAATTGGTTGAAATCTTAAACTAATATCCAAAACATTTCTTATTTTCATAATGTTCTTTGTTTTTATTTGGCATATGTATAGACATCTATAGACTAAGTGTCTCTAAAAATAAAACCAAAGGACAAGGAAAATTCTGATATGAACATCTTTCCTTTAAACTATAGTTGGCCCCAAACAATCATACTCTTTTCTTACCTGATCTGGTGACCTTCTGGATTAGAGTTTCAGAGAAACAACCAGAGGTAGTAGCTGTAGCAAGACGGCAGCTGGGACCATACGGATCTCAGCATCCTGCCTTATGGCCATTATCTTTGTTTCTATCTTTATGCTGCCACTATGTCTCCTTCTTGTGCTCTCACTCTGTCCTCTCCTCCCTGCCTCCTCCTCTTCCTGACTCCAGCTCTCATTGCTCCCTGTAACTTACCCTTCCTCCTTCTTCAGTTTTTTTTTTTTTTTTTTTCCTATTGATACAAGATGAAACAAGAATCTCTAATTAGGAAAATTTTTATAAAATATTTAAAAAGTGTGTATAGCTGCCATTACCTAATCCCAAAAACCACTGTTAACAATAGAGGAAAAATAATATTTTTGTAGACAACATCACTTACAGTGTATTCACTTGTATATCCCTTAAGGACTGAAAAAAATTTGAATAGATGTAACAACTTTCTCATTCTCTGCTGTAATAAAAATTAATTTGAGACTAACAAGAAAGAATAGTGAGTAATATTCTTTCCCCTTCCCCAACTGCTGAAAATGAAAATCATGTCAGCATCAAGTCATTTTTGCCACATCCCTTGTTAACAGCCTTTTCAGGGTGGGTCATAATTCTGTGTTTTGTTAGTGTCTTAACTCCATAGTGACCTGATTAAATCATATTTCACATTGGCTTTGTAGTATATGTATATTTTCAGAATACCTTGTGAATTATGGATCTTATTAAGTTATTATCAACTTTGTCAAAAAATGTATAAGCTTTAAATGAAGAATAAATTAACTAATATTAGGGCAGTAATTGATTTTGATGTTTGGAGTATGTGTATGGTGTGTCATTACGTATGTCTAAAAAAGTAAACTTACTGTCTGTCGCCAGGAAAAAAAAAAAAGTGGGACCTAATCAAACTGCTGTGGGGTCAACCCTTGTGGTTTTAAAGGCCCTTAATGTTGTCCAGCTGCAAAATAAAAGGAATTGGGAGGGGAAGTTGGAAGGAGTGGAGGGGGTTGGGGGGGAACGTGTGGAAAAGAACAGGGAGTCTGGCTTTTATTTTTTTTTTTTAAGTGAGTTCAGTGCCAGCCTGGACATTGGCTGTGCAGACTATTGAGCCATTGTCTGCTCCATTTCCAGAATAGCCCCCAGTTAATCACTTCGGCTTTGAAGGGAATTTCCTCGTGGAATTCTCCACAGAAAATCTAATCAACTGACCTGCCCTCTCAACAATGGAAGGCTTTTTTTCTCTCTTTCCCTTATTGGGGCGGGCTCTGTAATGTAGCCTTTTGTGCAGAATGAACCCTCCCAGTAGGAGTGGAGAGCGAGTGTGAGTGACTGAGTGTATGTGTGTGTGTGAAGAATGCACACTATCTCGTGTTGGTGAGTGTGTGCTTACTCCCTGACCAGATGCTGCGGTACACGGGGCAGCCACCATCTCTGCATGCGTGTCTGTGTAAGTGTCTCTCTGTGTGTATGTGCCTCTGTCATTTCATGTCAAAGGTACATTACCTGATTACCTTCCTTGTCTGCCAGATTTTTATCTAGATAATTGGAACTGCTATGGAGGCTGTGCCTTGCCAGCCAGCTTAGGATCTGTAAAGCCATAGTTTGTCCACCTTGTTATCTGTGGCTGCCTGGGCAGAGGAAATTAAAGAGATCCAAAGCCAGAGAAGCGCTTTCTACCCCCTACCTCCCAGCTATCCCAAACAGGATAGTTTATTAGTACTGTCTTTTTGTTTTTAATTTTAGGGGCTTTAGTTTTAGATTTTTGTCCCTCGTGTGTGTTATTTTGGCATGTGGATACCTATTCCCCCTCCACATCATACATCGTGTTTTATGGAGTTTGGAGCTGAGGAAACTTTGGTTGGGCTGCCAGGACGTTCACACCACTTTGTGGAAAGCACGAGCTAACAGTGAGACCGACAGAGTGAGTGACAAGTTGTTTACAGGTTTCCTTGAAGGGGCCTCTGCTATATTTCAATCTGTCAAAGTTGCTTTTCTTCCCTCAGAACAATGCCTGATTGTTTTGTGTGAGTGTGTGTGTGTTTCCGTGTGCGCAGGGAGAGAGAGCCTAGAAAGGGGTGAGAAGGAATAACAATTCTTTGTGTAAAAATGCTATTACTAACATTTATTATTTTTTTTGGTGTGTGTGCTCTTAGTTAATAACTGCAGTTTAACCTGGGTTCTGTTATGATCAGACTTCTCTTTTAATCAGCAGAAAATGCATTACAAAAATCCTACTCTTTTCTGCGTGTGTGACTTTTATTATTTAGAGGAGAGAGAGTATGGGAGACGCGTTAAATGAGTTGACTTCTCACATTCAGTGATGTCTAGAAGAGAGAATTAAAAGGAAAGGACAGGCACCCTGAGGTTGTCTAGTGCTTTGCAGCCGAGCGTGTGGCTCCCCCACCCTACCCCCGACTCAGTAAAGGGGGGAGCAGCCAGACCCCGCTGCTGGAAGTGCGCTACCCCTTTAAGAGACTGGTCAAGGAGTCCTAGGAGAGGGAGAGGAGGGGAGGGAGTGTGGGGGGGAGACTGAGAGAGAGAGAGAGAGACAGAGAGAGAGAGAGAGAGAGAGAGAGAGAAAATCAATTGGTTTAGAAGGTTTGGACTCACTTGACAGGTTCAGTTGGAGACCATCATAGGTGGCTGCTGTGACAAAGGGAAATTGTGCTTTTCCAGCATGCTTACTGACCCTGATTTACCTCAGGAGTTTGAAAGGTGAGTACAGTTTTTTTTTTTTTTTTTTTGCTCCTCCTAAAATATTGAAGTACAACTCTCCCATTTTATAGTAGTCTCTGAATCAATTGGAAGATGCTCCCCCAAAACATGTTGTTAAAGAAGCTTTTTGCTAGTGCTTCTGCAAGCTTGTAGCTGATTTTTGTGGTGGTTGTCCGGACCAAATTGAACTGATTTGCAAAGTCTCTGAGATTTCTGCTAATGTCTGTTTATAGGTTATGTCCTATAACAGGAAATTAAATGAACATTAAGCATCTCTGTCTCTCCCATTCACCACTTCTCTCTCTCCCTCTCACTTTCTTCCTTCCTTCCTTGATATCCCCCACTACACCTTTTTAAACATGCTTTTGTGCATAGTGTTACCATTTTCAGCATCCCTAGCTCATGTAATTTCTGGGGTGACAGAACGTTGTAGTGGTGGTTAAAACGGACGCTATAAGTTCATATTTGATCCTTCCGTAAAAGTTTGGAAGCAACTCAGTAAAGCACATGACCTTTTGTTGATATGAGAGCAGATTTTTTTTTTCTTAGAAAATTTAACATCACTACAATCTATTTGTGGATTACTATAGAAGTGTCAAGAAAACATAAAAAAAGAACTGGGAAATGAGATGATCTCTTTCTAAGTTTTAGTGGTCGCTTTTTGCACTAGCTGTCTTAAACAGAATTTTAATTTGTTTTATTTTCCCTGTTGCTGTAATGGAAATAAGTGTATTTGTAATTAAGTTGTTCCTATTTAGAGAAATATGTGCAATTAGCCTTCCATTGAACGTTGTTGCAAATAAAGTGGGGCTTTGAAAGAATTTTAGCCCTCTTCACGTTCCTATTAGTACACATTGCAGTTTTAAAATTTGAGTTCTTATCCCAGCATAAGTTCATTTTTGTTAACTATAAATAGAATTTTGTTTGCCATTAAAAAGAATTCAAACTTTGCATTCTGTATGGTGAATTAAAAAAAAAAAAAAAAAAAGCTAAAAAAGGCAGGATGCTTGATACCCAGGCTTTTTTTCATTTTCATGAAAGCTACCTTCTGTATAAACATTTGTTGTATCTGACTATGCAATGCAAGCTAGGTGCTAGACCAGCTGGTTAAAAATATGCTAAGTCAAGCTGTTCATCGCTCAAACGACTGAATTTGATATGAAAAGATGAAAAAAGAAAGGACAAAGATTAAAACATTCTAGAAGTGAAGCATCGGAAGAGAAAAAGAGTAGTGAGAATAAAATAATGCTTGAATGTGGTCACACATTAGAGAAGCCAATATCAGACAAGGAAGAAAGTAAAATGATCAAGATTTTAATATTGTTTCCTTTCTTTCTTTTTCCTTTTTTTTTAAAAAAGGGGTGTGTATGTATGTGTGAGTGGTTTAATTAAGGTGCATCTTCACTAGAAAGTTCATTGAATGGTTGAGGTTTCTTAACAGTTCTGAATTGATTTTTTAAAAAGTTCCGTATGTTAACCCTTTAAGTTAGAGACTTTTATTTGAAAATATAGCCTTGTTTCATGTGTAGAGATTGAAGTTATTTAGACTGCAACATCCTATTGCCTGATATAGCAATTTGCTAACTTAGCATAATAAGTTTTCTAGGATACACAAAAAAACGCTTAAATGATAATATTCTTTAATTCTCGTTATACTTTTTTTCAAAATAAAACACTTGAGTCTGATTTGTAAGCCTGTTAACAGATTGTTCTTATAAAAAGGTAGTTACATATTAACAGACTGTAGCCTATTTCACTATATAAGCAAGATTCCCTGCTGTGAACTTTATTTGTATTTTTTCAATTATCTCTTTTTAAACTAAACTTTTCCCTTTCCTATTCTGATGCTCAAATCTCTTAACATTTTTTCCTGCTGATTAGAATTTTATTTTTTGTCACCCAGAGGCATGCTTTTCTAACTGGCTAATTAAATAACCTAGTGATAGTGAATAGGATTATTAGTAGGGACAGCATATTTGGAAATATTAGTAGCTAAAATAATTTTGAAAAATACCCAATGATATAAAATTTCTTAGTAATTTCCCCTGTGGCTATAATTGGTAACACTTACAAAAATCTTAGTAAATCATTACTATTTGTTTACACTGAGTTTCTACGGTTGAATGTATCTATAGTCACCCACATAGAGTAAGTACATCATGCACTCAAAATTAAATATTTATACTATCCAAAGGAAGTATATATAATGTAAGCCACTATCATATATAATTAGCTTTTCTATTTTTTTTTTTTTATTTTTTTTCCTTTTAAACTGTTTTCAACTTTCATTATATAGGTAGGTGATTTTTGTCAAGTATAAATTGTATTCTTCTTGCTCACCTGCTATAGATGAGTTTTTTTTTTTTTTTTTAACTCAAATATAGTGAAAGATCGGATTCCTTTATGAATTAAAGAACTTTACAGGATATAAATAAGTTGCTTTGCATTAAAGTCTTGTGGAAGTTGTATGTGTTCTTTTTTTGTTTTTTAATTACATTGGTGGGTATTGTGTACTGTCCATCTTCTATTATTCATTTCAACCTGTGGACTATTTGAAACTTTAAAGACTATTCAAAACTTAAATAATAGGAACAAAATGTTCCTGTACATTTGTATGTGTCTGTAATATCAGCTCAAGAAATGAATATAATCAATACTGCCATGTAAATAAACAGTTGTTAAATTATTCAGAAGTAGTAACAATATCAACGTGTGTTAAAAAATGTTCAGAAGGTCTAGCATTTGAACATGAGTCTAAAAAAGAAATTAGTTGAAATATTTTCATTTTCAAGTGTCTCTGTCATAACTGATTAAGATTAATAAAAAATTCTCAGGTGAGAGGAAAATAGGCCAAGTATGTTCTAAACAATTATTTAGAAGAAAATCTGTTATATCATACTGTTTAGAGGAAACATAACTGGCATCATGGTCAAAATGGTAATAGTGTCATTAGACTCAACACTTGAACTCTTCTAATCCTTTTTAAAAATGTCAGTGAATTTATGTATTTAACTGAAAGTAAATAATGAAGAAATATTTTTGTGACTTAGTATTTTTTTCTTTGAGAGTATCATCTACTTATTTATATGTCTAGAATTAAAATTTTTAAAGTAATTATATTAAATACCAATATTTTAAAATTCTGATGAATAAAAGTAAGTTTTTGAGACTATCTATCCATAATATTGTGTTCAATGTCCTTTTTATCTGTCTTATTTGAATACAGTATAATAATTTTATTACTAAGCTACATATTACAGTTTTTACTGGCTTATATTAGAGACTTAATTAAAAAGTATGTGTAAAATGATCAATGAAAAGACAGTTCTGAAAATGTCTAGAAAGAAAAGAAGTTGGAATGAAAGGTAATGAGATGAATCAGTAAAGCTTATGGTATCACCTATTTGGATGCTTCTCTCAAAATGGGTGCAGACAACAGACTGGCTATTTAATAGATGCTGAAGGAAATACTAAAAAGAGTAAAAATGTTCTGTAATTAAAAATGAACTTACTTTTTATTTAATTTGTATTTCTGTCAAAAATATTTATGCTCATATCAACTAAAGAATCAATTTTTTATCTCATTAATACACTTAGAAGTGTTTTTCTGAAGGTAGGTATTATGAAGAACTAATTTGTGAGATTACCATAAAAATTACTATTATTGGATTGTGAGACTATCATGTCTCTGGCAATAGTTATACTTTACTTACTTAAAGTTTGGCCATAATA